CTAGTTCTACACCACCCGGTTCTACACCACCTGGTTCTACACTGCCCGGTTCTACACCACCCGGTTCTACACCGCCCGGTTCTACATCACCTAGTTCTACATCATCCAGTTCTACTATCCTTCTCTGACAGACTTTAAACTGCTGCTAGTTTAGAAATCACTGAACGGATTACAGATCTGCACAGTGGTGCAGTTGGTATCGCTGCTGCCTTGCAAAGGTCTGGGGTTCGAATCCCGACCTGGTCTGTCTGCATGTTCTCCTTGTGGATCAGCGGGTTCTCTGTAGTTATATCATTGATTAATTAATTAACCTGATTTAAAAGTTGCTGACTGGACATTATTATTACTATTGTTTTCCCGTTTAGTTGTGTAAATGAGGGGCCGCATTCAGGCTGTTGGGGGCAGATGGTGGGAGTTGGTGTGAAGTGAAGCAGCGGCTCCAGCAGCCTATCGCAGCCGGCCTCCGAAGAGCTAATGACGGCCTGGAGGCGGGGGCAGCGCGGCCCGCCGAAGCCTCACTCCCCCCGGGCTGCAGTCTGGGATGGGATCCAGCAGCGGACTGAGCGCCTCTTCACCCAGCCGGTGAAATCTGATCTACTCAGCAGCTCCTGCTTGGTTTCAGGAGATTCCGGCCTGCTTCAGATGGGAATTGTTCTGAGATCCGACCCAACCGTCCGGACCCAGCCGTCCGGAAGGCTGCGTCCCGTTTAACTCCGACAGCTCAGAGGAGAAGATCCGGCTGGAGTTCAGTAGGAGCCAGGAGCAGGACAAAGGTTTGACCTGCTGAGGAGTTTGGGTCCAGCTCGGAATGACCCGGTTCGGCACCCCGCAAAGCTGTGCGTAAAACCCGCTGTGCACCGGACAGGAAGTGAACTAATTATGATCAAACCCTCGTTTCAATATCTGCTGTGAGCTGCATGGACCACAGCCAATCACCCACCGGAGGGCAGCTGCAGCCGCAGCAAGCATGATCCCCCCTCCATCATAATTACCCTGACATGCGCAATCTGCACAGCGGCCGCCGAGCGCGCAGCCTATTTCACCGACCCCGCTGGCCCTGAAGGCGCCCAGTCTGCGCTCCATGCTCCGGCGGGAGGCGGCGAAGCGCGCAGCATGTCCCGCCGAAAGCAAGCCAAGCCGCAGCAGCTCCGCTCCGATGAGGAGGAAGAGGAGAGCCGGGGCGCAGCGCGCTGCGGGACGGGTAAGAGTCCGGGGCAGGAGGTCAGGCGTTCATGCGAAATGTTTCCACTGCAAAAAGCGTCAGAATAACTAAAGAACCCATTATTTCTTAACTTTAAAAAGTTTTTCTAAAAAACTTAATTTCTTCGATTCACTGACAAACTCATTGTTTTTTCCAACAGCAACATTATACCAAGACAATCAATAATACATTTAGTCCTTTGTCATTATTTTAAATTTTTATTTCTTTTCGTTCTAAAATGTTTGTCTGATTTGTAAACTAAAATAAAATCAATCAATCATTAATAATAATAAGAAGAAAGAAAAATGTTTTATTTCTGGAACCTGATTTCAGTTCCTCAGCTGAATAATTAACGTTTAAAATGTGACTACGGCTACTGTTGTCTATTTACATTAAGAAACAGATGAATTTGCTAATAATGACACCTCACTATTTACAAATGATTAAATAATTTACTTTTTTAATGTGTAGGTGTTTCAGTGAGGCTGGATCATATTTTAAACTTTGGAGTACAAATTCATAAAAATCTGATTAAATTCCATTATTTATATCAAATCATTTAATTCATTTGCTGAATGAAACAAACTGTTTAAATTTCAGTAAACTTTTTCAGGCATTATCTCTAGTGATTACAGATTTTTTTTATTCTTTATTCAGTTTTATAATAATTAATTTACTGATAGGCCTGGAGTTCAGTTTTTATAATTTATTGATCATAATCCCAGATTTTTCAGGGGTTTTTTCAGAATGTATCTAACATCTTTATTTCTGGGAGGAGGAAGAGGAGGGCCTCTCTTCGGCCTGCTGACTTAACCTTTGTCCGCCTCTCCCTGGGAGTGACGAGCGGTCCGTGTCCGGATCAAAACACAGTTAGTATGTGTGACGTGTGGCCCTCTGGAGCCCGGGGCCCACGCTGCGCTGCAGCTCCAGGATGTCCGGCTCTCGTCTCTTGACGCCAAAAGGAAGAAGAGGAAGAGGAAGAAGAAGAAGAAGAAGAAGAAGAAGAAGAAGAAGAAGAAGAAGAAGAAGAAGAAGAAGATCTAAACGTGTTTGCTGCCCTGACCGGCCGCAGCAGTTGGAAATAAATTCCTGTTATATTTGGAAACAGATTTAAAGGCTAAAATCCAACCTGATCTTTTCTTTGTTTTCCCTGGAAATAAATCCCAAACTGTGGAGAGAAAACGCGGAGCTGAAACAGTGGAAGTGTTCGGACCACCCACCTGGAGACTCCAGAGCTCTGATTATTTCCTGGGATGAGTTTAGCGCTGCAGCTCGGCTCTGCTGTGGAAACAGCTGAAACTGTCACTTTTTACTTTTCCTTCATTTTAAACTCAGTCTGTGCTGATCTGACTAAACAGAGCAACTAGCTGTTACATTTTACATCAACACACTTAGATTAAATCACTTTAAATTAATAAGTGTTTAAGCCAAAGAACACATTTTATATCTTGTTCCAAAAGGAAAAACTACATTTTCCAAAAATCTTCCAGGATTAAAGAAAACTGCATGTCTCTCATATTTTGACCTCATTTTTCTAAACCATGAAGTTGCAGAACATGAAGCAATAATCTTCAGCTCATACTCCCATCTGCTCTGTTGTCTGTTTCCTAATGGAGAAACTCCTGAACAGATGCAACACTGAAATTATGAAATCTTGGCATAAATCATCAAAAATCAGCTGCAGGAATAATTGACAAAATGAGATGAAGATGCTGAAATTGAACAGATTTGCAGGCTTCGCTTGGGGCTTTTTCCTCTTTCATTTTCAACTGATGGCCTACTGGTGTCTAAAGAAGTAAAACATTTGCAGACTCAAAACCGCTCAAGTTGCTCCCGGCGCAGAACCGGAACTCTGGGAATGAAAGAAATGACTGAGATGGTCCGGGTTCTGAAAAGCAGGCGGCGCGTTGTTTTGGACCAGTACAAAGACTTAAATCTGCAGCTTTATTGACACCATCCCAATGTTTGTCCAAACTGCACACTGAGTTATGTAAATGCACAGAAAATCAATGCAAAGCTTGAAATTTCATTATGTGTCTGAATGCTGGGATGCCGGCTAACTCCATTGATTTTTGGGGTTGATAATCAACATGAGTGGCTTAAAAACTTTTGTTTTCATTTCTAGGCTGCAGCAGCTCATGTTGGATTTTGATTATGAAAAGTTTAAAACAAGCAGTTTTTACCAGTGTAACGTGGGGAAGATGATATATGTGATATGAATGAAGCAGATCAACAATTACAGTTTAAATATTTAGATTCAGTTTTACATCCAGCTTTAATAAAACCTAACTTCTACATGTCTGAAAATAAACGTGTTTCCACACTATAAGGAACAGTCACCAGGTGTTGATCTCAGGAAACAAACCTCAGATCAACACGTCACCTTTGCAGCTAAAGACACGTTTCTGCCTGAAGGGTTTAGAATGAAGCAGCTTCAAATGTCTGAAAATATCCAGAACATTTTAAAACAGGAAGGTTTTCACTTCTTGGAAGGAATAAATGTGAATCAGGAGTTTTGCATGATGGATGTCAAGTTTGAAAAAAAATTCTACTCTGTGCAACTAAGACAAATTGAATAAAATCATAACTTAACATACATGACAGTTAGGTCAGCTGTAAAATATGCAGAACTTCTTTTTCTCTTTAATAAGAATGAAAATAAGTTAATGAAAGTAGAAAAATAAGATCATGTCCTCCAGAAAATGTTTTTTCATATTTCTTGTTTCCTGGTCATTTGCAGCTTGAAGCATTTTGATGATAAACTGGAACATCTACAGTAAATTTTTGCACTTACAAAAATTTACTGGTCCACTAAAAGATCGTCGTTTTAACGATCTTTGTGTCGTTAAAACGACGCAAAGATTCACCACAAAGTTCTGATTTGTCTTTGAAATGAGTCAGAATCTGTGAGATCACTGCAACAATCTGAATATACAGTCGAGCTCATAATTATTAGTTTCTCTATATATTTTAAAAATCATTTTCAAATATTTCTCAGGTGCCATTAAACAGATAAATGATTTTTCAGTACAGCTCTTCCAGACATCTTAGTTTTTATTTTGTGAAATTCTTTAACAAAAGTCAAAAAAATACAACCATCAAAAATATTAGCACCCTTAAGAACTGACATTTCATTTAGCCAAAGCGTGTTCTTTCATGTGGTAAAGCTCGCAGATTATAATCAATCAATCAATCAATCAATTAATCAATCAATCAATCAAGGGTTGTCTTACATTTATACACAATATAAAATCCTCATTAAGATTTTGAGCTGTTACTTGAGGGAGCATCATGTCAGAAGCAAAAGAATCTAACTTAAACTTGAGAGAAAGAATTGTTCATGATCACAAAGCAGCAGAAAGATATACGAAGTTATCGCAGCGTTTTCAAGAGTCGAGCAGTGGAGAGAAAAGCATCATCTAGAAATTCAGAGCCACACAGTACTCAACCAGACTGGCAGGGGGAGGAGGCGAAAGAGTTCAGACTCTGGAAAGAAAACTAGTGAGAAATGCGTCATAATTACATCCACCAGGAACTGTTGTGTCCAATCAGGAAGGCTCTAGAGCCTTTGCAGAAATGGACTGGCCAACAGAAACTTTTCTTCTACAGAGGAGAAGCCATGAAGCCAGACGGAAGGACGCCAGGAAACCTGGAGAAAGACTGCAAACTGAGGCTTGTGCTTTGCTCAGACCAGACCACAGCACAGCTCTAGAGTCGGGACAAAGAAGGGACGGGGCTTACCCCAGAGAACACAGTCAAACATGGAGGTGGACATATCATCCTGTGGGGATACTGGGAACCTCAACAAAGCTGAAGGAGTGATAAAGAAAGAAAGGCATGCAAAGATTTGAAAGGAAACTTCAAAAAGTCAGCAGCAAACTTGAATCTGGTGCATCACATCCAACATGGCAACCATCCATTATGACAACCATCCATTATGACAACCATCCAACATGGCAACCATCCATTATGACAACCATCCATTATGACAACCATCCAACATGGCAACCATCCATTATGACAACCATCCACTATGACAAACCACCCAACATGGCAACCATCCATTATGACAACCATCCATTATGACAATCATCCAACATGGCAACCATCCAACATGGCAACCATCCATTATGACAAAACATCCAACATGGCAACCATCTATTATGACAACCATCCATTATGACAAACCGCCCAACATGGCAACCATCCATTATGACAAACCGCCCAACATGGCAACCATCCATTATGACAAACCATCCAACATGGCAACCATCCAAAACACCCAAAACATGTTGGATGTTTTAGATGACAACAACCCAAAACATCCATCAATCCCGGTGAAGAGCTGTTTGTAGAAAACCAGGGTGAACATTACTGACTGGCCTACACAAAGCCCTGAATCCTATTGAAAATCTGTGAATTACACCAAAGTCCAGGGTTCATGGGAGAAAACTTCAAATCTGAAGGAGCCTGGAGGATTTGCCAAAGAATAGGCTGCAATATAAACTACAAAAAGTGACTGCATGTGGTCACCCAGCAAAATAGACACATGCCTGACTAAAAATTTGGATTATTTAGGGATTTTAATTCATCCAACCATCAATTATCCAAACATGTTTATCCTTGCATTGAGGCTGGTTCCCAGTAAGTTCTAGTACATATTTGCAGTTCACATGGAAACATTGAGGGTTTCAGGATCTTTTTGTCTATGTTGATAAATATCATAGAGATATGTGGATATAAATATGTTAGAGTTAACTTTTATCCCTGATAATTTATCAGGTAATGATGGAAGGTCAGATGATATTAAAGTGTAAATTCAAAATGTTGTCCAGCCAACATGACAGATAAAGAAGGGAAGGTGAAGCACAGCAGCTTCCTGAACTGGGGCTTCAATCTCTGCTTTTCAACAAAACTACAGTCTTCAGGTTCTGTGTAGTTAGGCCCAGATGTGGAGGTAGATCTGATTGGGTTTTCTGACTCCAGAAATCTCCTGTGATGTGAAAGAATCCAAACCAGCTAATATTCCTCACCTCTTCAGGTGTCTATCTGAAACTGATCTCAAACCTCAGTAACTTAAGCAGTGCTGGGTTAGGAGCCTCAGTATAGATGGACCTGAAAGATAAAAATGAAAAGGTGAAGAAATGATTTTGAATGATGAATTTTTCCTCCCTGACTCCTGTGTTTCCTCCCAGTAGCTGTCGGCCTAACTGTGGAGGTTGGAGCAGGAAGCAGAAGAAGTGAGGAGACGCACATCTGCGCCAGGTGTTGTGCTCAGTTCTTCACCTGGACTGAACTGATGAGGCATCAGGGAGTCTGCACAGAGGAGCCAATGGTGCTGGTGGTGAAGGACGATCTTCCTGAGGATTCTCCAGTCGAGGGGTCCCCGCTTCCCAGCGTAGCGTCCAGCAACTCCTCAGCGGCAGAGTCCATGGATGCCGCCTTCGAGCTGACCAATGACAATGACAGTCTGGACCAATTAGAAGAAAGGAGGGATTGGGATGACGATCTGGATCTGGAGGCGCCCAGCCCCCCTCCTCCTGACTCCTCTCAAGCGTCTGCAGCTGGCAGGATGCCGGGGACCAACGTCACGCTGGAGATCCTCCACAGCACCAGGGTGGCTGTGGCCCAGTTCTCCCAGGGGATGAAGAGCAGCAGTCTGGGTGAGAAGGCCACTTCAGCAGCTATCCCTGTAATCCTGGAGCACCTGCTGGCTTTGCAGCAGCAACAGGTCCGTCAGCTGCAGCTCATTGAGCAGATCTGCAGCCAGGTCGCTGTCATGAAGCCTCAGCCGACACAAGCAGCATTAAACCCTGCTTCCAGGCCCGTGACTCTGGACTCCAACCTAGGAGTCATCCCTCCTCCTAACCTGCCTCGGTCAGGAACCATGCCCTCCTACATTAATAGACAGACTCCTGTGTCTTTACCCCCTGTGCTTGAAAAGCCACAAAGTCTCCCCTCACGCTCTTTCTGTGGAAAGTCCGCCTTGATGTCCTCATCCCCAGAAAGCTCCCCCCCTCCCATTTGCAGTAGCATGCTGCTTCCTTCCTGCAGTGACTCCAGCAGCATCAGTAGCTCCTCCGGCTGTCTGCCACAGGCTGGCCTACTCAGCTCTTCCTCCAGCCTGCCGTTTCTACCTCAGAGCCCTCCCAGCGGCGTCATCTTCCCCAACCCCCTGGCCAGCATTGCAGCCACAGCCAACGCACTTGACCCCCTGTCAGCTCTCATCAAGCAGCGGAAAGGCAAACTTCCCAACCTGTCTCTGTTTGAAGCAAAGGCCAGCCCAGAGGAACCCTTTTTCAAGCATAAATGTCGGTTCTGTGCCAAAGTGTTTGGTAGCGACAGTGCGCTGCAGATCCACCTGCGCTCCCATACAGGGGAGCGGCCCTTCAAATGTAACATCTGCGGCAACCGCTTCTCCACCAAGGGGAACCTAAAGGTGCACTTCCAGAGGCACAAAGATAAGTATCCTAATGTCCAGATGAACCCTTTCCCTGTGCCAGAGTATCTGGACAATGTGCCAACCAGCTCTGGGATTCCCTACGGTATGTCTGTCACTCCAGAAAAACCTGTCTCCTCGTGGTTGGACAGCAAGCCATTGGTAGCAACTCTTCCTGCCACTCTAGCTCTCCCACTTTCCTCCACTATCCCTAGAGTTGGAGGTTCTACTGACCCAGTAAATGTACCAGCATTAGTTAAGTCTCCCTACCAGGCAGCTCCTGGTGAATGTGTGTCTGATCCACCAAACCAGCGAGGCATCCAGGCCAGTTTCTCTCCTGTTCCACAAACTGATGCCTCCAAAATACTGAAAACAGATGAGGCCCAGCTGCCTCAAAGCCACACTTGGTCACCGAGGGCTGACCCAGTTGGTGAGATACCCAGCCGGGCCAACACACCAGAACTCAACACCTCAGCATCTTTTGCCTCCAGTTCTCCGCCTGTCTTACACCTCACAGATTCTCTGCAAACTTCTGAAACCTTGAAGCTTCAGCAACTGGTGGAGAACATCGACAAAAAAGTCAACGACCCCAACCAGTGCATTTTGTGCCACCGCATCCTCAGCTGTCAGAGCGCGCTCAGGATGCACTACCGAGTCCACACTGGCGAGAGGCCCTTCAAGTGCAAAGCATGCAGCCGGGCTTTCACCACCAAAGGGAACCTGAAGACCCATGTGACTGTCCACAGAGAAACCCCTCCAGTTCAGGTCCAGCACTCATGCCCAATCTGTGAGAAGAAGTTCACCAACGCAGTGGCTTTGCAACAGCACATCCGTCTGCACATGGATGGCCAGATACCCGACACTGCCACGATGGAGAGACTGCAGGACATGGACAGCTACGAAAGTCTCAGTAGTAACGGCAATGAACTCACCGATGACTTCTCCATGGACGATGAGGAAGGGGAGGTAGAAAACATGGAGGAGGGTATTAATCCACCTAAATCCTTCATTGTTGACTGCAGATCTCCTCTAAAGTCTGTGTCCGTACTGTTAGGTGCAGCAGCCCTGAACAACCAACCGAGGACGGTTGACACCTCAGTGGGTCCAAACCACTGCTTCACTGAGAAAATGCCTTTAGATGGAGACAGCAGCCTGCTGAGTGCTGATGGTGCTTCATCAGAGAAAACTATGGAAAACAGCCCCCATGCATCTGAATCCTCCTGTTCTCCACATGCACCAACATCTCTTCCTCAAAGTGTCTCTGAAGGCCTGGCAATCAGTCTCCTCCAGACCACTGACACTAGCAAGCCGGAGGAGCTTCTGACTGCTCCAGTGATGAAGAGAGAGCAGTCTCCAATATCAGCACCAGTTCCAAGCAAAGCCTGGCTGAAGGACGAGAGTCAGTACAGCGTGTCCTTCCAGCTGAGCCGAGACAGAGGTAAAACTAGTCACATGTCTTGATGTCAACATCCTGAAAACGCTGCACCTTCTCACTGTTTGCTCTGTGCTTTCAGCTACAGATCAGAGCGTCTCCAACCTGATCCACTGCTCATCCTCCGGTTCCATTAAAGCTGAAGTGAGCGGTCAGACTCAGCTGAACAGCATGATGGCCGCCTCTCTGCTCGGTCTTCCCCGGCGGACGCCCAAACAGCACAACTGCAATGCCTGTGGGAAAAACTTCTCATCAGCCAGCGCCCTGCAGATCCACGAGCGCACGCACACCGGAGAGAAACCGTTCGTCTGCTCTGTCTGCGGGAGAGCATTCACCACGAAGGGCAACCTGAAGGTATGCCGTCCTGTCAGAAACTTAGTTAACTCTGTTGAAACTCTTATTGGTGCGTTCACACCAAACGCATTTCGTGCGTCTGCTTTACATTCAAAGTCTATCTGTAAGCGAGTCGAGGGCGCGTCAGATGCGTAAAAATCGCTCTAGCCATTGTTTTCCATTGCCAGTGCAGCCTATTTGTCGGACACCTTGGACATCCTTGATGTGTCACATGCCCCAAATGCTTCAAATCGTGCTTGATGCATGAAACGCGCCGCAACGCGCCTCTGGTTTACTTTGTGTCATGACCCATGTTTCTGTGTATTTATTTTAAAGTTTTTCTGTGTTCAGTTTCTGTCCTGAGTCTCTGTTTCTGCTTCTTCCCCGTTGATTGCTTCCCAGGTGTGTCTCATTCCTTGATTACCCTCCCTGTGTATTTAGTCCCACCTGTTGTCTGTGTTCAGATCCTCGTCTAACGTCATTTGTCGTCTGTCTGCCGTCACAGTCGAACTGTAAAGTCGTGTGTTGGTTTAGCTCACTTATTCAGTCCTCACTTTTCAGCTGTGTGGTAACTCTGCCGTGCCGCCTGTGTTGGAGCTCTCTTTATTAAATCATCTTCATCATCATCATCATCTGGGTCTCGGCGCTCATTCTCACCACCACATGACACTTTGAATGTAAACCAGAGGCACGAAACACGTTTAGTGTGAACGCACCATATAATGTGCAGCAGCATTACTGTAACTGAGGGAAAGTCTCTCACCTTCTGTTAGTTTACTAAGTTTTCCAGGAAAACCTGTTTAAATTTTTTTTTAAATTTGCATTTTCCAATATAAATTGTTGTTAAATATCAATCTACACCAGACTTTTTTTTCCTTAGTTTTGTTTATCCTCTTTCCTTTGTTTCCAAACTTGACCGTTTTCCTATTTTGTTTCTTCTGTCCTTCTTATTTTTGCTCTGAACCAATCAGATCTAATCTACAGGTCACTGGCTCGGAGAAAAGGCTAAAAATATGAAAAGAAAAATTTTAAATATCAGAAAAATTTAATCCAAAGATTTTTACCCACATATATTGAAAGTGTAGATGCATAAAAACACATCCAAAATGATAAATAATAGAACAGTTAGGTGAAATAGATTTCTTCTCATCAAGTCCACACATTTATTGGATCCAGATGGATGGATGGTTGGATGAACATCAGTTGCATTTCTCTGGGCGATGCGTTCACTGACCCTCCTTCCTCCTCAGGTCCACATGGGGACCCACGTGTGGAGCGGCGGCCCGGCCCGGAGGGGCCGCCGGCTGTCGCTGGAGAATCCGCTGGCGCTGCTGAGCGGAGAGGCCCTGGTGCTGCAGAAGGACCTGGCGAACCGGGCTGTGGACTCGGGGTTCTGGAACCGCTACGCCACGGCGATCACCAGCAGCCTGGCCATGAAGAGCAATGAGATCTCTGTGATCCAGAATCGACGCGTTGCTCAGCTCCACCCTCTGAGCATCGCCGGCCCGATTGCTGGACTCAACGGGACCGGAATCGACCTGGGAAGCAACCGGCACTTTTCCATGCTGATTGACGACGGAAAAGAAATTGGAATCAATTAAAAATGAACTGAGTGCTGAAAAAAACTCTTATGCAAATTATTCTAAACATTAAAACTTTTGTCCATCATCTTTTAAATACTTGGTTTCAGAGCAGAATGCGCTGCAGTCATGTTCCTGAGAATCCCTTCAGAGCTGCACACTGCTGCTCAGCTGGCTGGTGCAAAGCACACGCTGCATTCAAACACATCTGTTGTCCACTTTATGATGAGACTGTGTCTGAGTCTGAAATGAATAAAAACATTAACACGGCGTCTGTCCATTCCTAAAGCTCACTCTGAGAAACTGAAAACATGAAGTGCAATATGTGACAAACTGAAACCCTTTTTGTTTCCGACTACTTAAAACCATTTAATTTACACAAGAGCTGAGCAGAAAAACAGCCAAAAGTTACAATTTCAGAGCTATATTATCATTTAACAAGCAGGGTGAGAAAACGTTGCTATGATCCCTGCATCAGAAACCAAATGTGAAGTTCAACATCACTTTAATTCTTCTGGTACAGAAAAAGCAGGTGTAAAAAAGACTCAGCAGTTTATAAAATGTGCTTGATTGAGGTGTCAGAGTGATAATCCCAGTCCTGTTTGGGCCAGAACCACCGTTCGGCATCTAACCGGGTCAGAGTAAGTTGGATTTTTCCTGACCCAGTTATCATTCTGGTCCTTCACTAGTTTTTCTGTAATCTAAGTTTCTGATTTTTCTCACAGAATGCTTAACTTAGAGTGATGATGGTTTTGACCTGATGGAACATTCAGAACCTTCTGCCAGTTTCTTCATCCAATCATAAATGTCCTTCCTGATTTCTGACCAATCAGAGAGCAGACGGACTCTCTCATCCCCTTCCAGCAGATTTGAGCTCTGGATGGTTTGAACGGTGATGCAGACACAAGCACTGCAGCAAGAAGGTTCTGGGTTTGGAACCCGTCCCGTCTATTGGCATGCAGTCTGCAGGTTCTCCATGCGCCTGCGTGAGTTCTCTCTGGGTACTTCAGCTTCCAGAAACAGGACAGTGAGGTTGTGTCAGTGTGTCGCTGTGAAGGACTGAGCAATGCTCTCGCTGCTTCAGGAAGAGTTGAAAGGCTAAACAGGAGAAGAGCCAGCCCAAGGCATATGGGAGCACTGCTGCCTTGGGGTCCACATGAACACTGAACGTCTCACAGGATGAAAATCTCAAAACTTGAAATTTGTCCTTTGACAATGACCTTTGAAATGTTTTGAATTTTAAATGTAAATCTGTATTTAGTATCCTTGTGAACGAACCAGTCCTAGCTGTAATCAAAGGAAAATATAGTTTGGTTATGTTACCACTCACATTTGATCTATATTTGCTGTTTTCCTTTCTGGGTTCAGATTTTAGGACAATGCATAAACAAGTAAACAAACTGGTTCTGTTCTCCTAATTCTGCTGAGCTGGGACTGAAATGCTGCAAGACCAAATGAGTAACTGAGAAATAATATTCTCTCCTCAAAGTATCTAATGCCTTTTATTTAGCAAATAACAAAAACTGGTTTTGACTCTTCACATCAGATTCTTAGGGTCTTGCTCCTGGCTTGGTTATGCGTGGGAGCCAGATGCATTTATATTATTAATATAAAATCAGAAACTTGTCTTGGTTATAAATGAGACAATAGTAATGACATGGCAAAATACTTGGAGGAAAACCAAACATCAATTTAGCCCAAACACCTCAAATCAGCTGAGACACGGTGGTGGTGCGAATTTAGGAAGGCAGTTGGCAAGAAATGTTACCAGTTTAAGGAATCAGTTCAGTAACCAGCTAAGGAATCAGTTCAGTAACCAGTTTAAGGAATCAGTTCAGTAACCAGCTAAGGAATCAGTTCAGTAACCAGTTTAAGGAATCAGTTCAGTAACCAGCTAAGGAATCAGTTCAGTAACCAGTTAAGGAATCAGTTCAGTAAACAGTTTATGTTGCCAACATTTTCACAGCAGCATCAGACCACTGGCATATCTGCTTCACTCAGTAGTGCCTGCAGCTGTACGGCTGTACTCACTGCGCATATGTGTGTGTGTGTGTAATAAAAAGCAGATAAATGTATGTACTTTTTATTGTTTTTTTCCCTTTGCTATTCACAAAATTGCTGAAAAATACCCTGTACAGCTCACATAGCGTCTGTGGGGTGAGCACATGTCCACCCTAAACCTAAATATTATTTTAATTTTATTTGGCGGCTTGGCGCTCTTTCTGTAAGCTAAATGTGACTCTGCAGTGTGAAGTTAGAAAAACGAATAAGAAGGTTTTTCACGCAGTTTTAATAAGTTTTTTTTCCTGTGCGCGGACCGCCTGCGTTTTTACAAATTTTACAAGTGACAACGGGTCACCCCTTCGCTTCTCCATTGACCGACCGACACCTGCCGCGCTCTTCCCCGCTGTCATTCTAGACTGGGAGAGATCTGGATGTTAAACAGTTAAATCTAGTCCAAATATTAGTCAAAAATAGTAGAAATTAAGCAAACATTGTCACTTCACCTCCTCCTCTGGAAGTCTCAGACACCCCACCTGAACCTGGGAATCTCCGCCCTCCTCGTCCCGTGGATCACATGGGTAGGCTTTGCTTTTCTGTGTGAGTGTGTGTGTGTGGGGGGGGGGGGGGCGCAGTGGCGCAAAAAGTGGGTATGCAGCGCATGCAACGCAAGGGGCGCTGCACCAGGGGAGGCGTCAAACCCCGTCTGGAGGGGGCGGCGCGCACTTACGCTCCTTCAGCTCGCGCCCGGTAAATGTAGCGAGTTTTACCTTTCATGTGTGGGGGGGTAGAGTGAGCGCATGCTGTGTACGCATCCACCTGAGAAATGTAGCGCGTGTGCTCCTTCACCTTCACGTACCTTCCTTGTGGGGGGGCTAGGGGGATTTATGTTTTCGCATCCACCTGAATGATATGTAGTTGTGACCCTGTGTGTGTGTGTGTGTGTGCGCGCGCGCGCACACACACACACTACAGTAAATAATTATTTACTGTAATTTGTCTCCAAAATATAAAAAGTAGGCTATACAGGCATAAGTGTGTATGTGCGTGTGGATCAGATCCCTGTATGATATTTGTGCGGGTTATGCGTGTTGGGGATGCGGCTACGTTCGTGTGGATCAAGTACAATGATAGTTTTGTTCGTAATATCCTGAAGACGCTCCTGGCACCACTGACATCAAGTCATGCTAACATCCTGGAGGGGAGGGTTAGTAGACTTGATTATTGGAACGTCATTTTTACTGGACTATCAAAAACATTAATCAATAAGACAGCTCCAGCTTGTCCAGATCCTGCTGCAAGAAGCCTGACTAAAACAGAGATCAGCATATCAGTCCAGTTCTGACATCCTGCACTGCATCCTGTTTCTCAAAGAAGAGAATTTCAAATCAAAGGTTTACAAAGCTCTACACAATAAAAGCCCAGAGTACATTTCTGATCTTCTTCAACTGTGTATAACACTCAGACCTTTAAGATCATCAGAATCAAACCTATTAATTATTCAGAGTCAGAACTAAACATGCTGAAGCAGCTTTCAGTTTTTGTGCTCCAACACTCTGGAATAAACTTCCTGCTCCCCTGTGACTTTATTTAAAACAAGGTTAAAAACCTTTTTATTTGCAGTTGGTTACTCTTAAAATTTTAAAATATATACTTTTCTTCACTTAACATAATATTTACAACTTTTTATATTTAATCTGTCTATTTTTAATCAGTTTGATTTTTTTTCTTCGTTGTTGTTATATGTTGTTTTTAACTTGTTTGTACAAGCACTTTGAATTGCCTGTGGCTGAAATGTGCTATATAAATAAAGCCGCCTTGTCGTAAAGGAGATGGACTTCGACAGTAAGACCTGGAGAAATAATGTGTAAATTACCTGAAACGCGTTTTATTTGTAATCTAATGATTAGATTCAAAGTAATGTTTTCTCCCTACAAACTGTATTTCATATTAAGAGAAAGTTTCGCTTTTGGTCCTTCCTGATAATTCCGAGTCATCGTGAAGGCGTCGCTGGTAGAACGCTTTTAGGTGACGTCATGACGCTCTAACCCAGCCAACATGGCTGACAGCATCCCGTTAAATCCGGTTCGGAAAAGCTCCAGGAGAACCGCGAACTACAGTTCAGCCAGGCTTTCCAGGTGCGTAACGGGGACGGGCTCAGGGTCTCGGCGTGAAGAAAGGAATATTTATCGGGTCCAGAACCTCGGTTCTGTTTCTGCAGCTGTGATGGCTTCATTAAAGCACCCGGAACCGGACATGGGTTCTGATTGTACAGCACCAGAACCACTGAAATCGATGTTTATTATTATTATTTATTCTGAATTTATTGTTGCAAGGCAGCAGAATCATGAACTGGATAGAACTTTGCTCACGAGAGGTTCTCTCAGCTTGTTTGGGCTTTTTCATATCAGGTCACATGATCGGTTCTGGTATGACGTCATGTCTGTCACATTGTGTAGAGAGATGTTTTTTAAATTGATTTTATTTTTGTTCTGAATCATAAACCTGTTTAAAATGTTATGGGGACGTAGAGAGTAAATCAGCCTAAAATAAACATGAAAAGCATCAGTTCACTCTTTACCACAGTCACGTTATTAAACGTTAAATCTAGTTTAGCTTCAGTGTTAGCACAACGCCAGGTGGAACAAACCAGCAATGACCTCAGAATGGCAGCTGTTGCTGTCCATTAACCTGGGAAAGGTCAAAGGTCATCTCCAGATCATTTGAGGTCCATCATTCTCAGAGGAAAACATGTCATCAGCTACCAACCTTCACACTGAGTTTAGCCCGAGGTCAGAGGTCAAAGCGTGAAGCTCAGAGAAATTACTATAAACCCAGACTTCCACCTCTGCCTCAGTTAGCAGGTCAAAGGTCACTGAATCAGAACGGCGGAAAGACAAAGTCTGGGTTCTCTCCCTCCCTCGTTCCTTCTTCAGATGCTCCTTCATGTTGGAGGTTAAAGGTCACAGTGTGTCCCTCATTCTCCTCATCTGCTCTTCGCCCATTTTGGGTCCTTTTTCCACCCTTACGCATTTTTACGGTCTTTGGCAAAGTGTATTACCCACAATTCATTGCAGCATGTGACGTCTTGAGTTAAAAGGTGGATTTATGGCAATGTTTTGATGTTTTTTCCATCTTTAGAGAAAATTAAAATAAAATATGACAAGACACATTAGTAATAAAGTTTGATATGATAAAATGAGCAGAAATAAAAAGAATAATCACAAACTAACTGAGGAAAGTAAAACAAAACGTCACAAATGCAAAGCAAATTTCAGATCTTAAATTGAGACATTAACATATTGGTATAAAGATTGGGCTTTTGTGATTTTATTTCAGCACTCTCTAAAATAAAATTATTTCACTATAAAAATGGAGGTGATGTTTAACTTAGCCAGAGGATTAAATGTATCTTAATTTAATTCTTCATCCCTGCTAGAAGACCAAATTTTATTATATTAAAACTAGAGATGGGATAGATTTCTTGTAAAATATCCACTGAAAATCTTTCTAAAAACATTCATGAAATTGCAACTGAAAACTGTTTATTGTCTCAAAATCTGTCATAAAATGCAGGAATTGGAATTTATTTAGAATTTCTTCTGCAGAAAGTCATTACAGGGAAAACTTTACACATTATTATGAAATTAATAACTTAAGTTTTAGTGGCAGGGGAATAGAAAGCTGCTTGGTTCTTATCATGATTTTTAAATAAATGTTTTCTTCTCAGTCTAGATCAGAGGTTCCCAAACATTTTCTGGGCCCCCCCCATGGATTACAAATAGCTGTCTGGTTGAAGGACGTGTGTGTGTGTGTGTGTGTGTGTGTGTGTGTTTGTGGGGAGGGGGGGGGTTCCTAGAGACTCCCTGTCTAACTTTGGTGGCAAACTGAATGTACATAGCTGGACATAGACAACACCATTAGCCTACAGGCTACTTGTTAAGCTTAAGGTTCTGTATTGACATTAGCTAGTCATCCTTTAGCTAACATTACCTGCATCCAGCAGCTTCACTCACCTCAGTCTGTTAGTTTGGAGGGAAAACTGAAAAGTTCTTTGCGTTTTGCTGCCATGATTCTAACACACCTGCAGCAGCAGGAGGTCTCCTTCACTAGCGCTCATGTTGCGTTTAAAGGCGGCTCGGAAAAACAGGTTATGAGATGTTAACAACGGATTAAACAGTTTTAACTGCTGATAAAAGTGACAGAGGACACAAATATGGGAAGTGTGGAAGCCTCTACTGTATCAAATTGACATAGGAATAACAGAGAGTTGGCCATTCTAAGGTAAAAACCCAGCGCATACAGTGTTCATGTTTTTTTGTTTTTATTATCCAGTCAGCTTCCACCCCCCCACCCCCTAGGGGGCGCGCCCCACATTTTGGGAACCTCTGATCTAGAGGACAATAAACTCATGTTGGATCTCCTGATGAATTATTGCAACATTTTTGGTTCAAAGTGACAACATTCATAGTTTCTATTAAAAAGGACATTTTAGTTCCATTAGTCTTTTCATTTGTTTTATTTTTCATATACGCCGTATGTTTCCCTAAACTTGATGTTTGTTAGCTCCACATTACACCAAACTAACTTTTAGCTGCATAAACAGATGGTTTAATGAGTAAAATCGTGTCTCTATTAGTAAATAGACTCAGAATTAATTATTAGAACATTTTAATGCGTATTTTTTGCCATCTTGGAAATATGAAATAAGTTCACAGAATGAGCTGTCAGTTACAAAAATAAATAGAATAAAATACATTTTTAAATAATTTTGGTTTCACTGAACATATGAGGGATTATATTGAATTTTCTGAATTCAACAAGTCACAACAAAACACATTTCTCCAACAGAAATACCTTTACTGTACATTTAAAATAATCTGTTTTGTTGTAGTTGATCTTTTTAGCAGCAGAATGCCTAAACAGTGATCAGTCCGCCATGTTGGATGTGACGTTACGACCCGTTCTGAACTCTGAGGTGACTTTGACTGAGTCCACACTTCATAGGGGTGCAGGGCGCTGAGCACTGGACCGGGCCAATGAGTCCCATCTTTAGAAACAAGATGGCCGCCTAAGTGGGGATTTGCAGAGCTGGACCTGGTTAAGGACAAGACTGCTGGGACGATGTGATGATGAATTAATTATAATGTAATAAACTATTTTTGAATTTGAATGGTGATGAAGAGTAAAAGGGGGCGGGGCTCCTGGTTGACCACCTCATGGTTCTGGTTTTGTCGGACCCATTTGTTGTTCTATATAAGGAAACCTAGCACAGCAGTGGTCAGTTTGTCCTGCAGCAGCTATGAGCATCATGACTACGTAGACAGCTTAGGATGACCCCAGCTGAGCCATCAGCGTTTTAATCGTAGTCTAGAAAGTATTCTGGGCATCTGCCTCAGTAAACTGGGTTCTGGTTCTGGTTGGTGGGAGGAGCCCATCCTCCACTGTAATATCAGGCATGTTTAAAGATGGTGTCTAAATCTCCAGCAGACCTTTTCACTGTAGCTTTCATTGTTTTTGTCAGCTGATGTTGATATCTGAGACTACAGGAAGTGTCCTGTGGGGTCAAAGGTCGATCCTGCTCACCATGAGCTCAGCCATCTAGATAAATGTCTTCCTCACCTCCTTTCTTTCAGATTTTCTCTAGAAGATGAGCCGTCCAACCTGGACGAGATGCCCCTGATGATGTCTGAGGAAGGCTTCGAGAACGACGAGAGCGACTACCAGACGCTGCCGCGCGCCAGGCGGGGCCAGCGGCGCCTGGGCCTGGGCTGGTTCCTGCTGGGAGGCTGGGAGGTCCTCTGCACCAGGTGAGCTGATCCACGGACCCACCTGCAGCAGCCAGTCTGGGTTAGCACCAAGCTAACAGTTCACTCTGCTGCTCCCAGTGCTAACCCAGCAGCCAGTCTGGGTTAGCACCATGCTAACGGTTCATTCTGCAATCGATCAGTTCAGCTGTGGTGGATAAAAAAACAAACCTGGTCAGGAACCAGATCAGAGTCGGTGCTGCAGGTCAGGATTGTGGGTTTAACTGATGCAGTGATTTCAGTGATTCTTGTCTTTTTTTATGTTGGAAGGTTTATAATATAATTGGTAAATTCCGGTCAGGTCAGCAATATTAATACCGGCCTGAGTTTTCAGTGCTGCAACGTCTCTCGCTGCAGCAAAATATTTAGATTTTTTTTTCTTCAGAGGTCTTTTTAATTGTTGTTTAATTTTGCTTTTTATGTTTACTCTATTTTCTTCAGTCTTATTGTTGTTGCCACGTCAGCAACTGCAGGAGCTGCAGAGGAGTTAAACATGAACATGGCACAGAAACGCAGGAGTCACTGTGTCGGGCTTCAGACCCCCGCACAACGCTCTGCTAGTCGTGCATGAAAGAGAGGATAAGATCAGGCTTTGACTGAGCTCCTCGACGCGCAAAAAGGCTCTGGGGTCAGACGGATCCGGACTCTTCCTCAGCTGGACTCTTCCTCGTTCCGTCGTCCTCTGCAGACGCCAGCAGCAGCGTTTGTCATGGCGTAAACTCTCAGGGGAACAAACGTGTCGCCATGTTTCAGTTTACTGTTGGGGGGGCTCTTCATTGAAGCTGTGTACTGCCCCCACATCCCCAACCCCATGAACAAATGGGATTTTTCACAGCTGAGCAGTTTGATGCTTTCCAGTAATTTTCAGTTTGCAGAGTGAAGGATTATAAAACCCAAATAATTCACAGTGAATAAGCCCCGACTGTTCAAGCGCCTTATTATTTAAATGGCGTTCATTTGCTCAAATAATGGCTCTTATGAACCTGAACGGGGGGTGGGGGGTTGGGGGGTGCTGGGGGGTAGAGAGGCAGAAAACATGGAGGCCAATGCAAACATGACTTTTTACCAGAGTTCATTTATTTAGCTTTATGTTTTGCCAACTTGCTCAAAAAGTGGAAAAGCCAAAAGTCGCTCAGCATGACGGCACACAGCGACACTGCCCCCCCCACCACCCTCCCTCTGTCCCAGGTGCCCCCCCAGCCCCATGTTTGCATTTTGTATCAGATATGGAGATAAACCCCGTGCCGTCATTAACAGGTTGAAGCAAAGTCACTCACTTTTTAAAGGTGTGGAGAAACTCTGCTGCTGACTGTCTCTAGCATACAGGACCGATCCGAAGCCACTGCTGGGTCTGCCCAACATGAACCAGAGAGAGGTCAAAGTTCACTGAGGGGAGCAGCAGTTTGATCTGAAAGCATAGAAACACAAACACTGAGGTGATGAAAGAGCAGCGGAGGATAAACCATCACATCATCGGCAAAACTAACTGAAGGCAGGATAACGGACAAAACCCACAGAGGGTGGTGATGATGATGTCATATCCTGTCTTCCTCCCCAGCTGCTGCGACTGCCTGGCTCATGTCTGTCGGAGGAAGAAGGAGATGAAGGCTCGCACCGTTTGGCTCGGCCGGCCGGAGAAATGCGAAGAAAAGTTCCCAAAGAACGGCATCAAGAATCAGAAGTACAATGTCCTGACCTTTGTCCCCGGGGTGAGTCGGCGCCGGGTTCTGATGCTCCGGGTTCTGATGCTCCGGGTTCTGATGCTCCATTCTGCATTTAATTATTCACAATAATTTGGTGACACAAAGCGGGTTTCAGCCAGTTCTTACTGGATGAAAACCAGTAAGAACTGGTTGTCCCAGTATGTCCCCAGTGTTCCCAGTGTTCCCAGTGGCACGTTCTGCCTCTGCATGCAGAGTTTTCCAGTCTCTCTTGTTGGATCCATGAGAGCGATTGATCTGATTGATCAGCAGCCGCCTGTCAGAGACGTAGAAATGATCAGAGTGGCTCTATTATCCTCTCTCTACCTAAAGGGACGTTTTGATGCCGCCTCTTTATTGCAAACATCACTGAGAACGTGGCGTCGGGTGGCGTGGCGTCAGGTGGCGTGGCGTCGGGTGGCGTGGCGCCGGGTGGCCTGGCGTGGCGCCGGGTGGCCTGGCGTGGCGTCGGGTGGCCTGGCATCGGGTGGCGTGGCGTCAGGTGGCGTGGCGTCGGGTGGCCTGGCGTCGGTTGGCGTGGCGTCGGGTGGCGTGGCGTCGGGTGGGGTGGCGTCGGGTGGGGGGGCGTGGCGCCGGGTGGCCTGGCGTGGCGCCGGGTGGCCTGGCGTGGCGCCGGGTGGCCTGGCG